GACAGGAGAGACGGATGCTAGAGGACATTAGGTAGCTGTGTGTGAGTTTTGAATGTCCTATCCGTAGTCGTCTTATCACAATGAGATCTCGTCTTGACAGGGCTGAATGGTCCTGATCATTGACGGTTGTATTTCGTGTAAGATCGAACGGTTAGAGTTCCAATGCTGCTGCCAAAGGAGTCTGGTTCTTCTTTTAGTACATGATTTTAGGTCCTTACAAATTTGAATTTTATCGGTGATTTCAGGAGATGCTGTAGCAAGTTTAGCATAGTGATCTGCAGTTTCATTGCCTTCTATACCAATGTGAGATGGCAGCCAAATTATGGTAACTGTTATGTTTCGGGACAAGATAATTTGGTAAGAGTCTAGGATCTTTTTAACGATTGGATGATCGGTAAATATATTTTTGACAGAATGGATTGATGCTAAAGAGTCTGTGCATATGGCAATCTGCTTCTTAGGTGGATATATATATAATATATATATATATATATATATATATATATATATATATATATATATATATATAAATATTTATATATATATATATATATATATATATATATATATATATATATATATATATATATATATATATATATGGTTAATAGCTTGCAATATACTAAATAATTCACCAGTATGAACGCTGCTGACGGATGGTATAAGTGATGACTTAATTAGTGAATGGGAGGTTGTAACAGAGCAGCCTACTCCTGTGTCATTTTTTGAGGCATCCATGTATAATATTAGGTCGTAACTATTTGTATTTATAATGTCTATAAATGCATTTATAATGATATCTTTCGGATGTTTATTTTTATCGAAGTTGGTGAGCGAGGTGTTAAATTTGGGCATGGGGATGATCCAAGGAGGAGATATAGCGGGATACAGAGGAGGCGTATGTGTAAGAGAGATATCATTAAGTGTCTATGCTAAAATTAGTGGAATAGGTTTTATTGGTGGTATGGAATTGGTATTGTGTAAATTATACGTGGACATTAAAAATAAGGGATGCACTGGATTAGAGGGGTTAGCTGATACCGATGCCGCATAAGAGAGTAGCAGTTGTTTTCGTCTTATACAAAGAGGAGGTTCGTTAGTTTCGAAATAAAGATTATCTACAGGACTAGATCGAAAAGCGCCAATACAAAGGTGAAGGGCTGTGTTGTGAATTGGGTTTAGAAGGTTAATATATTATGTTTTGGAGGCGGATATATATATATATATATATATATATATATATATATATATATATATATATATATATATATATATGTGACAACCATAATCTAGCTTGGAACGTATTAGTGATCTGTATATTTTAAGGAGTGAGTTTTCGTCAGATCCCCAATAATGATGTGATAGAGTTTTTATTATATTAAGTCTTTTGCACGTTTCTCCTTTTATTGCAAATATATGTTGCTTCCAAGTTAGTCGTGAGTCAAACGTTACTTCGAGAATTTTGCATTGTTTAACAACAGGAAGAGCGAAGGGCTGTGTTGTGAATTGAGTTTAGAAAGTTAATATTTGTTTAATATACACTAATAAATTAATAATATTAATGACGTTCTTAGATCTTTGGTAGGACTTTAAATAGCAGGTATTTTCCTTCTTTTGCCATTTGAGCTGCTATTGGTGTCGCTATGAGAATTTTATTATTATTTTTTAAAGTTTACACTTTTGTTGTTCACTTTTGTTACATAATAAATACAAAAAATAATTTAAATATATTCCAAAGCTTAATGTACCGACAATGAGAAACAAGAGTCTGTTTTCATTTCTTCAAATATGTCGTGTAACTAAGTCAATCCTTCAAATTTTTCGTTATTACCTTGCTATTCGGGAAATAAGAAAAACACAACTTTTCTATTTATTTTCTCATAAACCAGATAAATTATTTACACTATATCAAATTTTTTTAAATTTTACAGATCTGTGTGCATCGACTACAGGCATTATTCTTATATTGAAAATAGCGATTTTCCACTCCTGTTAACATATTGTTTCGAGTAAAGAGAGTGTTCGTAACCGGTTCTGCGTTCATCCAAATAGTTCCTGTATTTGCCACATTTCTCACTGTCTATTGAAGAGATATATCACATGCAATTCCTTTGTTTAGCTGATCTATATACGGATACACGTCGCTTAGGTATCAAAAGACACATGTGGAAATTTAGGTTTAGACGAGAAAGAGCTTAAAATGTACAGAGTGCGAGGGAAAAGTACAATACCTGTAGGACTTTAAATATGGAATTGTATTTTTATACAACGCATATGTAAAACTGGGTAAATAAGTTTAAAAATATGATTTCAGAGACAAAATCACAAACTTCTTTTCCCTTTTACTATGCTTGCTCATCACAACTTGAATTATATAATTTGGTATTAACATTTCAACCCCTAAACACATCTAAGTACATACTCCTACGTAACGCAAGTAAACAAAATCTTAAGAAATAAAATCTTACGTATTTTCGTAAGATTTTATCGTATTTTAATCCAACAAGTACTATTGCTGCCCGTTTTAATGTACCGGGTGGTCCAATAAGCCGATCACTCGGCTATATATCAGAAACTATTCATGTTATAACTTTAGGAGAAAAAAATCCTTAGTAAAAGTGGCCAAGAGAAATCGCTGGAAATAACTTTCAAGATTCTGGATTAACCGCTAGGGGGCGTAACCTGCGAAGAAAATTTTGAAAACCAGTTTTTTGGGAAATATGTCCAATTATACCAAGTGTTAAATAAGTAAACTAGAAAGAGGCATAAATTCTGCACAAAGTTGTTCAAGTACTTTTTTTTTATTTTTTCAAATAAAGGGTGGGGGAGAGTGGGAAGGTATTTGTGGATAAATACCTATAACTTTGGTTTGGATCAACCGATTTTAACAAAATTAGTGTCATTAGAAAGAGTATGGACGAATTAATTTACATCTACTATAAAATAATTGCATTTAGTTTTAATTGTCGTAGGTAGAGGGTACTTTCGAATAGAAAAAATTAAAATTTGTTTTTCTTCAAAATTTTTAATGGAAACACCTATTTAGTGTAAGTTATAATGGAACTGGATTAAATTCATAACAAAATGGCGCAAACCGCATGTTAATAGCTTTTATCGAACTTGAGATATGAATAAAAACGCATAAACATAAGTAAGTATAGTATTGACACACTCTGTATTATAAAATAAATTAAAAAATAAGTCAGTAGGTACTTTCAAAATTTTTTATAGCAGAAAACTCTTAATGTTGATACCTATTTTGACCATTGTTATTTCATATGATTATAAATTGTTTTTTCGAATCTAAGTAGGCTACGACAATGAATTTGACAGGGAGTTCATATTGTTTATTTATTGACAGCAGTTAAAATAGTGTTAAGAAGTGTTATAGGTATTATAATTCGAAATAAAAATTGCATTTTTTTCAATAGATATTAATATTGTTAATATTAGGAATTAATTTATCAGTACTAATAATTCGTGATGAGTATATCAAATTGTATGATATGATGAGAGTTTGTTTCGAATATCATCAAAATGGCGCTATTGCCTCACGTATTCTGTAAGATATCCTGGCAGGAGATATTGTGGCAAAGAAGTAGAGATTTCGGACTACTTATATGTGGATTCTGTTGAATTAAAGCAAGAACATTGATTGAATTATCTTCGGTCATAACTCTACTACGTCGTTTAAAACAAGGACGAGAAAAACTACCAGTCTCTCTTAATCTGTTTGCCCTTCTTTCAAATACTTCTTTGCCATAATGTCTCCTGTCACGATATCTTACAAAATATATACGTGTGGCAATAGCGGCATTTTGGTGACATTCGAAATCAACACCAATCATATCATACAATTTGATATACCTACTCTTCACCAATTATTTGTACTGATAATTAATTACTAATATTACCAATATTAATATCTATTGAAAAAAGTGCAATCTTTAATTTGAATTATAATATAGCACTTCTTAACAATGTTTTGACTGCTGTCAATAAATAAACAGTATGAACAATCAAATTCATTGTCGTAGCCTACTTAGTTTCAAAAAAACTATTTTTTCCAAAATAGGTATCAACATTAAGATTCTTCTGCTATAAAAAAAATTGAAAATACCTTCTGACTTATTTTTTAATGTAATTTATAATACAGGGTGTGTCAATACTATACTTACTTATGTTTATGAGTTTTTATTCATATCTCGAGTTCAACAAAAGCTATTAACATGCGGTTTGCTCCATTTTGTTACGAATTTATTCCAGTTCCATTATAATTTATAATAAATAGGCATTTCCATTAAAAATTTTGAAGAAAAACAAATTTTAATTTTTTTTATTTGAAAGTCCCCTCTACCTACGACTATGAAAACTAAATGCAAGTATTTTATAGTAGATGTGAATTAATTTATCCACACTCTTTCTAATGACAATAATTTTATTAAAATCAGTTGAACCAAACCAAAGTTATACGTATTTATCCACAAATACTTTCCCACTCTCCCCCACCCTTTATTTGAAAAAATAAAAAAAAAGTACTTGAACAACTTTGTGCAGAATTTATGCCCCTTTCTAGTTTACTTATTTAACACTTGGTATAATTGGACATATTTCCCAAAAAACTGGTTTTTAAAATTTTCTTCGCAGGTTACGCCCCCTAGCGGTTAATCCAGAATCTTGAAAGTTATTTCCAGCGATTTCTCTTGACCACTTTTACAAAGGAATTTTTTTTCCTAAAGTTATAACATGAATAGTTTCTGATATATAGCCGAGAGATCGGCTTATTGGACCACCCGGTAAGTGGCGACCGTGACCTGTATCAATCGTAAGCGCGTTGTGGTTTGTAATAAAGTAAAAAAGTTCTATCATTGATGAAATCTGTACATATTTTAGCAATATATTTAGTACTTAAAATTTGTGTTTCATTAAGTGCTATTTAAATTAAAACAATTCTAATTTTACTTCTTAAGCTAAAAAAATTAAGTAATAATTTTTCTTACCTTCAACAAACATCCAGAAAAATGTAGTTATATGGAAGTAATGAAGTAATGTAACAATTATGATGCACAAGATGCTTCCTTCAAAATTTAACTGAAACAAAAAGACATAATGTTTAAAACGTAAAAAAAATGTTTAAAAATTTGCACAGTCCGCTATATACTATATTCTTGATGTAAACCAAAAAATAGTCAATGAGGTTAGTCCTGAAGATCTTAGGGGCCATTTTACAGTACCGTCGTATCCGATCTAACTGTTGCTGTAGTTATTATTTAGCATACGCCTAATCGAGATGTTTATGCTTTATAGACTACAACAAGGCATTTGATAAGTTAAAACATGATCCACTTATAGAAGTACTCGAAAACAAGAATCTGGGTGTGAGGAATGTAACATTGATATCAAATTTATACTACAGCCATCGATCAAATAAAAAAATTGGAAGAGAAGTGTCAGAAGAAGTGGAGATAAGGAGAGGGGTCAGACAAGATTGCATACTCTCGCCGTTATTGTTTAATGGTCATAATAGAAGACAACCTGGAAGACTTAGAAAGAATAATGAACAAAATATTAAGATATAGTGGAGAATACGGACTCTCACATAACATCAAAAAAACCCAAATTCATGAAAATTAGCCAGAACAACAATACAAATGAGATATTAACGGTTGGCGGCCAGCACATTGAGAGAGTTAAAAAGATATATCTACTTGGAAACGATAGTCACAGAAAATAACGATTATACTACAAAAATAAGAATCAGAATTAAAAGAGCACGTGCCAAATTCGTGAAAATGAAAAAGATTTTATGCAGCAAAGATCTGGCATTGGCCCTCAGAATGAGGCTAATTCAATGGTGTGTACACAGTGTACTCTACTACGGAGCTGAATCATGGACATTAAACTGGAATACAATAAATAGACTTAACGCGTTTGAAATGTGGAAATTTAGAAGACTGTTTAGGATTCCACGGGTAGATAGAGTCACGAATACAGAAGTGTTAAGGAGAATAGGCAGAGAGAGGGAAATGTAAAATACAATAAAAGAAAGATAATTACAATATCTCGGACATGTGATGAGAGGCAAAAGATAGAACATCTTGACACTCATAATTCAAGGAAAAATAGAGGGTATAAGAAGCATAGGAAGAAGAAGCGTTTCCTGGTTGAAGAACCTGAGAGAGTGGTTTGGTTGCAGCTCAAGGCAATTGTTCAGAGCAACTGTCTCGAAGGTCAGAATACACATCATGATTTCCAACCTTCGTCGCGGAGATGGCACTTAAAGAAGATACGCCTTCCACTTATTATATGTTGCAGGGGTGCTCCGTCAAGTTGAAAACATCTGTAAGAAATCTAAATCAAGAAATAAAAACAGAAGTAATAACGGCGGCTATCGTAACAGGATTTCTACGGGATATAATATGGAAAAGCAATTATATGTGTATGGAATGCACAACATGAATTTAAAAAATCTGTGTAAGACCCATTATAATCTACGCCATAGTAACACAAGCAGAAACAACCACTACTAAGCAACTATTAGGAATGATAGAGATGACGACCATAATATCAATTACTGACAAAATAGTTAGAGATAGAGTGAGAAACAGCAATATGAGGACCTTAGTAATATCCAAGATGTAAAATGGTTTATAGCCAGAAAAAGAGCATAGAGAAACCACGTCGATAGAATTGGTCATAATAGTCTTAAAAAAATACAAAAAAAGAAAAACAGAATACCACCAGACCACTTGAAAAACTTGTTTTTTGTGCGGAAATCCGTTTTTTACTATGTTCTAAGTCTTTCGTTAACAATATTTTATTATGCAAATCACAGTATAGCAGATAAATCATTAATTATAATTTTGTTTATGCCTGTCTAAACCGTATTAGTTGCGCAATGTACGTTATGGGTAATTGCAAATTATTTAATAATAATCTAATTAAACAGGTGTCGGAACGAGAATCCTTTAATTTTGGATATACAAGTTAACGAACAGGGTAAATGTATTGTACACGAGGGATCTGATGCGGTAAATATATTTGAGATTTTAATCCAGTTGTTTGTTGTTTATATCATATCTACAATAGTTGTTATTTATTGCACGTACTAAAAATTATAGCATAATATTGGTTTTAGCATTTTAACTGACAATGTGCTATGCCCAGTCTGATTATGCAAAAATAATTTTTCAAAATTATTGTGCAATTTGCAAATTTTTTCGCAGACATCTGAAGTTTTTAAGACATAGGTGGAGGTTACCAGATGGCGAATAGATGAAAAGTAAAATTCCACGAGGAAACTAAGTTCCTGCAGCTGGCTGTATACCATATATCACAAAAAAATTTTGTTTAAAATCCTTTATAAAAGGTATATAAAAATGCCCCAAACGGGCTATCACAAACACATTGCAAAACGTTTTCGGATTAAACAATCCATCATCAGTGCAAACGGTTGTACATGCTAGTATTTACCAAAATATATGGGTAAAAACCCTTTAAATGTTATAAATTTGAAGTTGTTTTACATTATTAGTATTTATAATTTGTGATGTTTAAGTTACCGTTGGATAGGTAACATGGCGGCGTATGACTCTACATGAGTAAAATGATCCTGAGACGAAGTGTCTACGAGGACCTGTTGATAACAACAGAGTTTTTATTAACAGGTCTTCGTAGACACTTCGTCTCAGAGAGACGACAGAGTTGTTATCAACAGGTCCTCGTAGACACTTCGTCTCAGGACCATTTTACTCATGTAGAGTCATACGCCGCCATGTTACCTATCCAACGGTAACTGAAACATCACAAATTATAAATACTAATAATGTAAAACAACTTCAAATTTACAACATTTAAAGGGTTTTTACCGATATATTTTGGTGGCTACTAGCATGTATAACCGTTTGCACTGATGATGGATTGTTTAATCCGAAAACGTTTTGCAATGTGTTTGTGATAGCCCGTTTGGGGCATTTTTATATACCTTTTATAAATGATTTTAAACAAAATTTTTTTAGATGAAAAGTACTCGTATTTTTACCTTGCGTTTTTTATTTATGGTTACAATTTAATTTTTTGTCTATAAGTTTTTTATCTTATATTTTACATAAACAATATAATTTATATCATTTTCTTATATCAAGAATATCTTTATTTTCCTGTTTTTTAAACTAAAATTGATAAACAATTCACAGAGATATTTGCAAAAAAGTAGCTTTTTGCACTAATTTATAAATTTTATTAATTTTTTTATTAACAAAACAAAATGTTATTAATACATCGCGCCCTTAGTATTAAAAGGACACATCTCGAAAATTAGGGTTTCTGAGTTTTTGGCTTAAATGGGCACAAAACTACTAGTACTACAACTTGGCCTCGACAGAAACTGAAAACGGAGAATATAAAGCAAGTCCTGATATGATGCGACCCTTTCGTACTCCCCTCTCCGCCAACACATCATCTTCCCGCGAGATAGGCCCATTCAGTAAGGTGCCGATGTCTGTTGAAGCAGATGTGTTAGTGAGCGCTCCCATTACGAGTTGAGCCCTTCTATGACAAAACTTGAGGTACGTGTTATTTTACATTTTTTGTTTTATAAAGACGCATTAAGATTAAATGCTGTATATTACTAAAATTTCCGAAAATTTATGGGTTTATTTAAAGAAAGTTCTTTATATTACTAAAATTATTGTATGGTGTTTGGAATTATATATCTAACGGATTCTTGGTATTACAAAAATATCTGTTTGATCTACAACATCATTGAAGAACAATACATTTCTACTAAGACTAAGAAAGTTGTTCCTGCGCGTCAAATGAAGAGTCCATGCAATAAGAAATGCAGACTGAAATGCAGCGAAAATTTTGATGAGGCTAAAAGACTTCAACATTTCAAATGTTTTTGGGCACTAGGAGATTTGCAGTTACAGCGTATGTTTATAAAAGCAAGAATGGCCATAGTTGAAACTAAATATAAGTATTCAAACGCTAAATATCCCAGAGCACCAAATGCTGCTTTCTACTTGTACGCTGATAATGCCAAGATCAGAGTCTGCAAAACATTTTTTATTAATACGTTGGTAATAACAAGTAAAATGATTCGCAAAGTAAGATATAATACTAACAATTGCAATTCTGTTTCTGACGCGTGGATGACAATCTGAAAGAAGATATCATTAGATTTATCAATCTAATACCACGAATTGAATCGCATTATTTAAGAGCGTCAACCTCAAGAGAGTTCATAAGTGGATCGAAAAGTATTACTGACGTGTTTAGAGACTTTCAAGAAAAACAGAAGAAATTATCCGAGATCCTGGAAAGTTTCATTTGTTTTATGAGATTTTTACTACCCATTTTAATTTGGGTTTTTTTTCAACCCAAGAAAGATCAATGCGATCTTTGTTTACAGTATAAAAACTCTTCTGCTAATCAGAGGCTTGCTCTCAAAGTCAAATATGATACTCACCTAGAAGAAAAGGAATTAAGCCGAGCAGAAAAAAAGAATGATATAATGACAATAAATATAATTTATGGGTATGCTACGATGTTCAAGCGATAATAAGTCCCAATGGAGAAACATCATCGTTTTATTATAAAGCCAAATTGAATAGCTACAACTTTACTTTGACTGTGTTAAACAGATTACCAGAAAATGAAGAGGATTTTAAAAGCTATGGTGACGTGCATTGCTATTTCTGGGAGGAGATCCAAGGAAAAAGAGGTGCAGTGGAGATTGGAAGTTGCGTTCTAGACTTTTTAAAGAAGGTTTGTGATGATGCAGGTGAACATGAAGTTAACGTAACATTTGTAACAGATAATTGTTGTGGCCAAAATAAAAATAAATTCATAGCTTCTTTATACATGTTGTAGCGTTTACGCTACTGATTAACCCCTTTAGAAATTTTTATTACCCGCCTACGATCGATTTTAAATCGACATTCCTTCACCTACGCGCTGTTATCGCTTTGAAAGGAAGATCGATTTTATGCGGAAGCCGAACGATCAGTTTTGGTCAGAACTCGAACGCAGCCACGTCAGCCGGTGAAATTTTTCACCTTCAAAGTGCCGGAATTGGAGCAGAAAAATAA